CATCTTGCACAGGAGAAATCTGATCAGCATTGGATGGTTGTGAATGGGGACAAGATAAATTTCCCCGGTGGTGGAACCCATTTTCATGATGGGGCCGACAAGTACATTATGGCAGTGGCTAAGGTATGACCTGGTTGCTTTATTATCTGTTGACCCTTGGCGGGAAAAAGGTAGAAGCTTTTCTTTCTTTTGTTCAAATTATTTCTTTGGATAGGAGGGGACATCATTTGATTTACTGTGCATTTTTAATATGGCTGCAATCATTAAACCCATAAACTCATTATGTGCTTTTTTGGGCTTTACTTATGAAACTGTAGATGCTAAAGTTTCCCGGCGATAAGCTCGACAATGGGGGAAGTATCAGGAATGTCCTTGACGTGGGGTGTGGAGTCGCAAGTTTTGGTGCTTACCTTCTTCCTCTTGATATTATAGCCATGTCCCTTGCACCTAATGACGTGCATGAGAACCAGATACAATTCGCATTAGAGAGGGGGATTCCTTCTACCCTAGGTGTATTGGGGACCAAAAGACTTCCTTATCCAAGTAGATCGTTTGAACTGGCTCATTGTTCACGATGTAGGATAGATTGGCTCCAAAGAGATGGCATTCTATTATTAGAACTTGACAGATTACTAAGACCAGGGGGATATTTTGTGTACTCCTCTCCTGAAGCCTATGCGCATGATCCGGAGAACCGAAAGATTTGGAGCTCCATGTATGATCTTCTTAGGAGAATGTGCTGGAGAGTTGTTGCTAAGAAAGACCAGACTGTTATATGGGCAAAACCAATGAGTAATAGTTGTTACTTGAAGAGAGATCAAGGAACAAAACCCCCTTTATGCAGCTCTGATGATGATCCAGATGCCAGTTGGAATGTGCTCATGAAGGCATGCATCTCCCCTTACTCGGCAAGTGAGTGCTTTGATAATATCTTTAGTGCTGGAAACATTATGTACTTGTTACTGATGTACGATCTGTTTATTCATGTATCGCTAATTTAATCAGTCGCCCTCATTTCAAATTCTTGTTGGTTTTCTCTAGAATTTACCTCTGGGGAAGGAGGGTCATCTCATGTAAAATTATTGTCTATGCATGAGACATCACTTGGCTTCTTCCCGGATCGCTCTGTGACTTGATGACAATTTGCAGATTATCACAGTAGGCATCGAATGTCTTTCTGAAATAATAACTGCATCTGTCCAGTAGACATAAGTGATTGAACGGCGTGGATAGATTATAGAGTCCCCTTAGTCTCCCCTCACCTTGATTGCTTACAGTGATGGTAATCACAATTTTTTGCTTGGGTGGCAAAAAAAACTTAATCGAAGGCACATGATTTGTGATACGTGCTGATAACTTTTCTTCTATCAGTTGCTCTTCGGGGAACACCTGTTTCTCCCTCGATATTGAGTAAAACTTTGGTGGTGTGAGTAAAATTAATTTTCATTATCCTACTTATTTTGTTAAAAAGGGATGCACCGGGAAAGATGGAGTGGATTGGTTCCTTGGCCTCGGAGGCTTACTGCACCACCTCCTCGCCTGGAAGAAATTGGTGTCACTCATGCGGAGTTTCAAGAGGATACTGTAAGTCCATGCATGCCATGATGGCCAATGTGCCACTACATTCAGGATTTAGCGTGTATCATTCTAATAAGAAATTTCATGATCTTTTATGCAGAGTGTATGGCGTTCTAGAGTTGATGAGTACTGGAAGCAGATGAGAGCTATCTTACATAAGAACTCAATCAGAAATGTCATGGACATGAACTCTAACCTTGGCGGGTTTGGAGCTGCCCTAAATGACAAAGATGTTTGGGTCATGAATGTAGCTCCTGTTCATGCCTCTGCCAAATTGAAGATTATCTATGATCGAGGCTTAATTGGAACTGTTCATGATTGGTATTGATCCTGCCTATTATCATTTTAGGTCATGCATTTGTTTGTCATACGTGATCCATACGAAGTATTTCCTGTTACCAATCAACATATTCTGCTGGTTGATATTCGACAGCCACTGAGTATGATGTGGATATGGCAGGGATAACAAGGAATTTGACGTACTCCGTTCTGTTTCTCACTCTCAGCTCTTAGTATGAATATCATTTATCTTTTTTTTTCTTTTTTCAGGTGTGAAGCATTTTCAACATATCCCCGTACATATGATCTTCTGCATGCCTGGAAAGTTTTTTCGGATATTGACAAGCGTAATTGTGGGGTAGAGGATCTATTGATTGAAATGGACCGGATTTTAAGGCCAGAGGGCTTTGTAATCATAAGAGATAAATCTTCTGTAATAAATTACATCAGGAAATATCTTCTTGCCTTAAGGTGGGATGGCTGGTCATCAGAAGTTGAACCTAGGGTGGATTCTCTCTCCTCTTCCGAAGAAAGAGTTTTTATTGTGAGAAAGAAGTTGTGGGCTGAAGGGGTCAACACAATGTGATGATGCATTATCAGGTACTTGTTTTGTATGATCTGTTTGAAATTAAAATTGTAGTTTTGTTTGTGTTAATCACATATCATCATGGTGGATTACAAGTTCATCCCTCGATCCTCTCTTTGAGCTTCCTAGCCCAGTTGTCTCTGTTTTTTGAACCAGTTAATCAGATTATATGAGCAACTTAAGTAACCATGGCCTTTAAAAATCCCTCGCCTTGCTTTCTTTCTGTTTTTTTTGGGTCAAATCTCGCCGTGCTTTCTTCTCAGCAGTAAATCTGTTAAATGACTTGCACACTCATTCTAAGTTCAATGATCAATCGTTGTGATTGTATCTCAAATTCTAGTTTTCCCTCCTACAGTCTACAGCAAGACTACTTTCTGTACGTACATGCGACTGATTACATGCACATGCACATGCATCACTGTTTTTGTTTCAGATGTGTAGAAGGGTCATGAATGGATCTGCTAGGAGAAACTAGCATTTAGTCGCGCCCCTTGGTACCAAGACTTGCCTGTTCTTTCGAGATGGGGACTGACTTTCTAGAAGAGACTTCTGTGTAAAGCATCGTGGAGGTACAAACGAAGCAGCTGCTACATACGACTGGTTGAGAGAAGCTAGGCTTACATGATTATTTTGGGCTGGTTTGTTCGGACGTAATTTTTCGTCAATATACTTTGTAATTTTCACTTTTACCTCGCCTTTTCGATCATAAAGGCTTTATGGGTCATTCTGTCGGTCGCAGCGATACGACCTATAAAGTGAAGCAATGGCCTAATCGCTGCCTTGTCTAAGTCACGGCTGTATTTAAAAGTTAGGTCAGTAGCTGAGTGCATGTACATGTCATATCGGTCATTGACATCAAAATGGACTTCCTCATATTCAGGATGTCTTCACGAGGCGATAAGTTTGATCGCTTCTTTTTCAACGCTTTGAAATTTTTGCTTCTTGACTAATGGCTTCTTGTTCTTTTCGGGTTTCTTAGTCTTTGAATGTATTCAATTTCACCTTAGAAATCTTATATTTTCTGTAATTTTCTCGTGCTCAAGACTCTGAGTCTCTATTCCAATCCTAACCACGAGCCAGATTCAGTGCTGCAGTTGGGTTCCAATGGCATAAATACAACTTAGGTCATGTATTTTCCTTCATCCCTTCGTTGGGTGCATATATATCAAGTGAATGGAATGCCCTTTCTACTACCCCTAAAGCCTTGTTTGGTTCAATACAGAACTGGATTTGTTGACAAACAGGGTTCCTTGGCAAGATTTCAAGGGAAATTATGACACTGATTCGGATTTTACATGGAATAGGATTTGTTAAAAAGTTCATAATTGAATTGCTCGACTGTAGCTAATATGGGCATTTCACTTTTACATTTCCATAACCACAACAAAATCATCAAAAATCGAACTCTACTACAGATGGCCGTTGCAGTTGATTGTTGCCTCCGTTGCCTCCGCTACCTTCATTTGCCGGTCACTAGCGATGTCGATTATCGGTCATGGTCGCTGTTGCCAGTAGCCCTGATGATTGCCAATCATCAGTCTCTTCTCAGTTTTCGATGAGAAGTATTCTCCATGGAGGTCCCGATTTTTTGTCATCCAAACAGTGAAAAAGAAATCTTATTCCAAGAAATGATATTACTAGGAATAGGAACCCATTTGAGAATTCTTGTTCGCAAAACCAAACGAGACCTAAAAAGAAACATGTTTTCTTAGAGAAATATTGATTCTTTCTAACTTTTAAAATTAAATTATAACCATCAAATTTCTAATGAATTTTTATTAACCGATGCTCACCTAATGAAAGAAATTTTGTTATATTGGATGCACGGCCTTTTTTGTGTTATACGTAATTAGTTCATTGAAAATCAAAGTAGTTCCATTATAAGTATGGTTAATGAGTGAATTAGAAACCAAAATACTTCAGATGGGTAAGAAATGTTATTCATTACACTGCTGGATAATAAATAGGGCTTCATGATTTTAACTACAAAGTAAATATATTGAAAGGAATAAATTTAGTAATTCCGAAATATAATTAAGAAACATCAATCAATATACTATCCGATGCACATACAACGTAAATTGAAGTTTTTATAAAAATTCTCATTCAATTACATTTCCACAACTTTTTTCTTACAACCAAACACAAGAATTTTCATTCTACTCCATTCTCATGATTCATCACATAAAAATAGCGAAAAAAATCATTCCGTTTCATTCTATTCCATTCTGTCACACCAAACGCTACATCAATGTCTCTCTATCTACATCTAATATAGCATACTAAAGCTATACGCGTTTTCTGTATAAAACAATTTACATTCGAAAATCTATAGTAAATAAGAAATTACTCTTCCAATTCCTAGTGGAAAAAAAAAGGGGGGGCAAAGAATGGACGTAATCACACTTACATTTTTCCTCAGTCGATGTTTAAACGGTGGTCGTTTCAGACAACAGCAACCCAGCCCCAACCAACCACGAGCGCACCGGGGAGCGGGGACACGTGTCGGCCCCACAGCGTTCGTCTCTTCCCGCTCTTTTCGTCCCCTTCTTCCTCCATCATCCATCGCCTTCGATCTCCGATCTCTCATCTCTCTCTGTAACTCCTCCTCATATAAAGGAGCTCCAAACCCGCGCATGGAAAATCCTCACCGCCCTGCCATTCTCCTATGCTCGCCGCGCCCCTCGCGTCCTCCGGAAATCCTCGCCGCCAGCGGCGAAAAGACCAAACGCCGAAGCGCTCCGATCGCCGCACTCCCCCCACGACCTTCCTCTTCAGTATCATCGCAGATCGCCCCGCGTGAATTTCGAGGCCCGATCGCCGGTCTTTCGGCTCGCCATGGACTCGGAGTCGGCGGCTGCGCCGGCCGCTCGAGCGCCGCCGTTCAAGCAGCCGTTCGTGATAGGTGATCGGGTCGCGCCCGTGCTCGATTCTAGTTTTTTCCCGGGGTAATTCTCGGTCTTTTAGCCTTGTGACGGGACGAGTCGTGATTCGTGGTTGGTTTCTTGTGTTGCTTCTTGTTGGGCCTTCCGGTCAGGTGTCGCTGGCGGGACCGCGTCCGGCAAGACGACCGTCTGCAACATGATCATCTCGCAGATGCATCACGAGCGTGTTGTTCTCGTGAATCAGGTGAGAGCCTTTGGTCCTTATGGATTGACATTGTAAGAAATCCGCAACAGCTAAAAGAATCGTACAACGAACGTTTCCTTTTTTTTTGCGGTGGAAATGAGGTTACGCGAGAAACACTGAGAAGGGCACTACACTAGCCGAACACATTGTTTAGGAGTCGAGGTCCCACCACCAGGCCTTGCTGAAGTTGTGAACTTGTGTGAATTCTGCCTTGTGATCGGCTCTTTCTGTTGAGTTAGCAATAAGGGGAGTTTACTAGAAAAGACAATGACATTCAACGCCTTGTTTAGAATTTGAAAGAGTTCCTGAGTGTTCAGGGACCATTCATTGATTTATTGAAGCATTAAGTTCCCTTTGTTTGGAAAGGTTGAAATGATCATGTTTCATGGTTGGATGTCTCCCGAACTAAACTAATGTTTGTTGTCAAACGAATGGAGTTTGCTCTGCTCTAGTGATAGATTTCTTGGAGACACTCATAAAGCTTTGTGTAGAAAGTGGAATACAAGGATGTAATTGCAACTCGTAAATAAGGCATGTGGCAGGAAATAACCATTTCTTTTGAGACTTAAAATTTTAGAGTTCAAAAAATAAAGAGATCAAATTTTCTCATGCTATCTTTCTATGTAAGCAATTCATATATGTATAATGTTCCACATGGGAAAGAGGAAACCTTTTTTTCTCTCCAACCAAATTCTGTTATCCTGGAATGAATATTGATGCTAATTGCTTTGCTCTGCATCTTGCAGGATTCTTTCTACCACTCACTGAGTGATGAGAAACTGCAGAAGGTTCATGAGTACAATTTTGACCATCCGGGTGAGTTTACTGGTCAATTTGCTTGGTGAAAGATGCAAGCTTGAAGTGTCCGCAACTTTGTACTTGACATTTTCAATCATTGCTCAGATGCATTCAATACAGAACTGCTCCTTTCATGCATGGAAAAGCTAAAACTTGGACGGGAAGTCAGCATACCTGGCTATGATTTCAAGAGCCATAGAAGCACTGAAGCAGCATGCAAGGTACTAAATGTATATGCACGTTGCAGACTATCTTTCGAGCTGCAATGTCAGTCACCAGAAGCACCTTCCAGACTCCTAACTATAGCAAACTTTCAATCATCTTGGGTTAGATTGTAGTCTCTTCCATAAGTGAGTGTCCGGTTTTCTCTGAGAAGAGTACCATTGCCGTCAGAAATTTATGGTGGAGGAATGTCCAGCATTAGAATGGCACATACATTTTTGTAACATCTGTGAAGATCCCTTTTCTTTTGTTTTGGTTTGCCACTTTATGTAGCCTCCCAATTAGATACACACTAACTTTATACTGCTGTTTCTTTAATTTGTGTAGGTCAACCCCTCTGATGTTATAATTTTAGAAGGAATTCTTGTCCTTCATGATCCTCGAGTTCGTGATCTCATGAACATGAAGATCTTTGTCGACACAGGTCTCTTATGGTCCTTGTCTCTGTGTCATTCTTACAGTAGAGTAAGTAGTTCTGCCTTTGTTTTGAGAGGATCTGACCTGTCTTTGAGCTTTCCAGCTTGGGTTTCTGCTTTTCTGAAGTTAAATAGCTTGGGACTTGAGAAACCTTACCTCAATGTAATAGTTCTTAGAGCCCTTCTGACTTTGATCACTAAAGCATATGTTTGCTAGAAAAGCACATTATTTGACATGTGCACCAGTCATTGTTCATCAAAAGAAATGTTAACTGCAGTTCATGAAAAGATAATTAGGAGTTTCCACATGAATATCCTCAATGTTTCATTCTCATATGGACTCTTAGTTCAGCTAGAAAGTTTATTTGTATTTGCATAATGAACACGTGGATTTTTGCTGACCTCCTCCTTTTAACATAAATTCCCTGCATCATTAGATGGCACAAGCTCAGCTTTCTGCTCGGGATTCGGGGTTACAATCTAATAAGCATCCTAACGCTTCTTCAGTGCAGATTCTGATATACGACTTGCGCGGAGGATTCAACGGGATACCATTGAAAGAGGCAGGGACATTCAAGGTGTGCTTGAACAAGTTAGTAATCTGAATCCCTTCCTCAATAGCTGCCATCTCAATCAATGGTAAGGAGGTGTGTCATTCATTCAAAAGAAACCACTCACATTCCCACTAAAACCAAGAAGGGATACACTGGGACGATACTTAAAAAGAGATTATTGCGGGGACTATGTTTGCTATTGTCTAAGCATTTGAATCTATCTCTCTCTCTCTGTCTCTCTGTATGCATTGCAGCCCCATCACATCAGCAAGTTGTCTTACCGCGCAATTTACTTTAATTTTCAGTATGACAGGTTTGTGAAGCCTAGTTTCGATGAATTCATATTGCCATCAAAAAAGTTTGCCGATGTCATCATCCCTAGAGGAGGAGATAATGATGTTGCGATCGACTTGATAGTTCAACATATTCATACGAAGCTTGGCCAGCACGATCTATGCAAAATATACGCTAATTTATTTGTGATTACTTCTACCTTTCAGGTATCAGTCATATATCTTGAACTATTTCTTAATTTCTCTGTACGTGCTCCAGTGGAGTTCCTCTTATACAACATGGGAAACCACTTGTGTGTTGAACTCCTCATCTATGTTTGGCTAGAGACTAATAATATATTAATACCACGAACTACTTCATGATTGTTTTTATTACCAGATACGGGGTATGCACACACTTATACGCGATGTCAGGACAACAAAACATGACTTTGTCTTCTATGCTGATCGTCTTATTCGCATGGTAAACAATTTGGTTATTGCTGCAGTCCAGAGAAAGGAGAAGTAATCTGTCTGTTTTAATTCTTGATTTGTTAGATGCCATTTTTTTCAGGTGGTGGAGCACGGACTTGGCCATCTCCCCTTTTCTGAAAAACAGATAACTACTCCAACAGGTTGTCAGAAAATGCTTTCTACGTTCCTTGTTGAACAGGACGACATTAGATACACTGATTCTTTACATTAAGTCTTTTCACTTGTACATATGCGTTGTTCAGTCTCTGTAGTCTGTAAGTTACGTTTGGAAAAAATTTCTTCCTTTTGATGGGTCATCCAGGCTTGAGCGAAAGCCCTTCACCAAAATACTCGAATGGAATGCACAAAATATATGCTGTATGTCATAGACACTAGTGAAATTGAAAACCTTTCATTCCTGTCAGGATCCGTATACACTGGAGTTGTTTTCCACAGAAGGTTGTGTGGAGTCTCGATCATCAGAAGGTAAGTTGTCTAGTTGTACGTTCAATATGACAGAGTCAGCTATCTATAGTACTAAGGGCTCATAGCATTTAAGGGCTACTCCTGTACTTATGCATGTTTTCAAAGTTTGGCGAGTATCAAGCATAGAAGTTTGTTATTGATTATGAAGAAAATTTCTTGCGGTGCTATGGCTGCTTCTCCCGGATAGCATCAGTATCTGTTAGGTTCCAATCTGCAGATTAAAGTAAACTGTTTTCTGTCTTGAGGATTTTCTTTCAGCTGCAATGAATGAGTCTTGCTCCCTTACTTCTGTTCAATTGGAACAAGTGAGAGCAAAGGTTCTTCTTTGGTAACTAATGGGTGGCATGGTTACTGAGAAGGAAATTAAGGGTACAGAGTTGCTGTCTCAACCCTGGAAACTTCACCAAGGCTCCTGTCTGCTTTGACAGACTATCGAATTCTCCACTCATGCCACTGTTGAGCTATTTGCTCTCCTTGTACATGCTAAGAAGAATTATGCATTGTACTAATGTTGTGCTTGCATGCACTTGATTCACTGAACTAACAAGTAACTCAACTCAGAGTGGCAAAAATTAACTGGATTACTCACACTTGATTGTGCATACGCCAGCGGCGAAAGCATGGAGAATGCATTAAGGGCCTGCTGTAAGGGAATCAAAATTGGCAAAATACTCATTCATGGAGAGGGTAATAGCGGCAGGCAGGTTAGTAAAGGCAAGTGATCCGATGCACATTCTTATATCAACAACATGGTAATTATACTTTGGCAATGACATTGGTGCAGCTGATCTATGAAAAGCTACCCGCAGACATCTCAAGCCGTCACGTGTTCTTACTTGATCCCGTACTTGCTTCAGGTTTGAAAACACAGAAATAGTCACCATCACTTTATATACCAGCTGAAACAGACATGAACAGTGTGCGTAAATCCATCTTTCAGGGAACTCTGCGGTCAAGGCCATAACTCTACTTCTCAGCAAGGGTGTAGCAGAGGCTAATATCATTTTCCTTAATCTCATAGCAGTAAGTGAAGTTGGTAATTCATAACCTTTCGAAGACACCAAAAGCAGTGCATTTTAAGATCTGCTGCAATTTGAATGTCACAATGCAGGCACCTCAAGGTATACATGCGGTGTGCAAAAGATTTCCGAAGATGAAGATTGTGACTTCAGAGATTGATGCATCTCTGGATGAGAATGCGCGTGTGATTCCAGGCATGGGGGAGTTTGGGGATCGCTACTTTGGAACAGATTAAAATCACAACAAAGAGGCACTGATCCAAGCACCTTTAAAAGCGAACAAGCAGTGAGGAAAATCACCAAGATATACCATATTTCACAGCCATTCTTTAAATATCAATGTCCAAAATCAGATGGTGCTAAAGTATTACTTGTAGAATTACTAAAGAAAAACATGGTTTCATATGATAAATATAAATTATGTTCTGCTCGGCACTAGAAAATGTTCATAATATAATATCTTATGTATAAAAAGATGATCATGCATCAACGTCATAGATTGTTTTCCCCAATTTTTGCAGTCTTCCAAAACAAATGCAGTAACTAACACGTGCTCTTCATAGAATGTCCAAAATTGGCATGTTGTCTTACACTCTTGATTTAAAATGAGACTACGGACCTGCAGATTGAGTAGGATTTGCACTTCTTAACTTAAGTTAATGACTATAGAAAACAAGAACACGCATATGGCTATTGATGGCATCTTTATTGAGGGGAAGATGGAAGAAACTTTCAGTATTCGAAGTGGTTGGACAGCATCGTCAATACTTAGTACAAAAGAGAGTTTTCAGCATAGATAATTATGGTCCACCCAAGTTGTGTTTGATTGCTAATACTCATTTCTCATAAACAATGCTTCAGTTGCTGCCACAAGAAGGAAAAGGAAAATCCATCGTGGGTATACTGAAAGGCACTCCCTGCCTACGGTTCAAAACTCCTAATTCAATTTATCAAGAGCAGGTTGTAAGGATATAAGTTGAACGAACCCTTCCTTTTGAATAACATTACAAGGTAGAGAGTAACAACGTTCATTTTCACATTGAAATGAAAGAGAATTCTCCGTTAACAAGTCAGGCAAACAACCTTGATGGAAGATTTCAAACAATCTAGTACAATGGACCAGCCAAAACAACGAATCACTGCTTAGGGCCTTAATCAGAGGGACTTCTTCTACTTTTCTTCTTCCTTGTAGCAAAGCTGCTGGGTCCAATTTCAATCGACATCCTTTTCGTCCTGCATTTATAAATATCAACCTGGGATTCACCAACAACTCCCTCCCCCCCACCAATCCCACTTAAAGTAATGATAAGTGAACGGGATAACTAGTGGCATGAAGTTACCTCACAGAAATCTCTTCTGATTCGTCGTCGTCAACTTCATTGAGACCGTCTAGTTCAGGAAAATATTGCCAAAGTTTTGTCAAAAGGAAATTATAAAAGCACCCACAATCAGAAACATAATTTTGAAGTATAGGAAAGTGAATGTTGATAGACTGGCTTTTGGTCCAATAAAATTCAATGTTCCAGAAAATTGTCAAAACAATTTGTTCCATTTTTTTGCTAAGAAATCCTCAGTATTAACAATGTGGTAAGGCAATCATTGATTGTCATGCCAATGTCTTCCCCTGCCTCAAGGAATTAAGCTTCTAGTATTTGTAACAGCACATGCAATCCTAAGACCACTAAAGAATACAATTCAGAAAAATACTTTACTCAACCCATGATGCTAGGTTATGGGTATCGTGACTCATTACATGAAATTTAAGCTCAATACTCATTAAACATACCTGTTCCATCAGCTTCTTCATCACTGTCTTGCCCTGACTCTGCATCAGATCCCCATCTATCTCCCCCTTCGTCAAAGTCCCAACGATCGCCAACGGGAGGAATCCAGAAGTCAGCATCATCTACATCGCTGTCATTCTCAGCAGAGTCTCGGACTTCTGATATAATCTCACCAGCAGATTTCTGCTTTTCCTTTTTCTGCTTCTTATCTAAATCATCCTTTTTCTGTTTCGACGCCTTTTTTGGCTTTTCATCCACTTCTTGCATCAAATTGTTCTGCATCAGCTTTTCCATTTCCTTCTGCTCTGTTACCAGATATCACCATCATCATCATGACATAAAACTTCAAACATTCCAGTCGTTTCAATTTGTCAAGATCAAAATATAAACCTCAGTGTTTTCTGACAGTGTAAGCCAACTACATAGGTTAACATTAACAAAAGCAGTAACAGTGTGGCATCCTACACTATCTCATGCATAGTTTTCAAAAGCTACTGATTATCAAACTGAGGGTAAAGATACAAACCTAATTTGTTGAGGAACCGTTTCCCGTTGATATGTTTCCATATATGTTCCTCTGACTTGTTCACTGTATCTCCAGTCAATTTGCATACCAACTTTGAACTGAAAAGCAGAATAAACAGAGAGCCCGATCAGCATCAAGACTTTCATTTCCCTCCCTCATTTGCCAAAGAGGGAAGGGCGGAAATACGACAATCATCCAAACATTTGCATTTCAGACAGTTCAATTTCTCAGGACAGAGTGTCAAGAAACAAAATATAAAGAGCATCTAGACTAGGATTCAATTCATCCAACGAGGCGAAACTTCTCGTGCTAGTCACAAAATATGTGGACAACAAAACCAGTAAAACAAAACAAAATCTCCCCCACCAACGAGAAACCAATAAGTTAATCCATCTGTCAAAACCGAAACTTGTTCACCTAAGCTTTCAATCTTGAACCTCCAAAACACCCAAAATCTAAAACGAATAACCCTTTCCATCCTCTTTCTCCAGCTTATCAGCACAAATAAGAGAGACAACAGATGGAGAACCAAAACCACGACAAGATAAAACACATCAGCTATGAAAACTTTCGCCACAGGAAGAACAACTATAAAGGAGTCAACTTTCTCAATACCGGCAAAGTGGGTCTTGCTGGAACATGTTGAGGGGGGGCTTATTGCGTGCCAAGGCGAAGTCGATGAGGCCCAGGCGGCACCGCTTGCTGCGAGAGTAGGGGTCCATGTCCTTGGCGAGCATCTCGTGGCCAGTCTCAACGCACTTGAACCGGCCGTTCTGGAGCTCGGTGAACGTCGGCAAGCCCAGCAGCTGGGTCCCTTCTTTCTCCGCTTTACCATCCTCCGCCGCCGACAGCGTCGACATTGTCGCTGTTCACAGACACAGAGAGAGAGAGAGGGAGGGGTTCGCTGGGTTACACAATCCGGGAAGAGGGCGATGACGTGGCCTGCCGCTTTAAACGATCTGCCGTTTGATACCTGGGAACAAGAAAGAGGGTCGTTCTTGCCGAGATGTCAAACGGGCCGGGCCAGCCCCGGCAAGGCGGCCCGTTTGACTTTTCGGGCCTTGATGGGCTTTCCAGGCCCATTTCTTCCCGAGACATTTACGGGCCCAAAGGGGCCTTCGGGCTACTTTTTTTAAGCAATTCTGTGGGCCTGGCCCTTTAGGACCACGATCAATTTGCCGCTGGCCACTAAAACAAGGAAAAAAAATTCGGACGGGCTTGGGCACGGCATGACCCGTCACACGAGGCCCGAGGAATGAAGATGGGCCTGCTCCATAAATGGGCTGGGCCGGCACGGCGATCGGTAGGCCAAGCCGGCTCATTTGTCACCCCTAACTCTTGTTTAGAAGATCCATCGATGGCGCTCGTTTTCATCGCCCTCCATCTGGCTAGACGAGGACAACTAAGAAATGAAAATGGAAAAAGCCCTCGTTATATTCGTTCTCGTCCAAAATTAGAGGAAGAAAAGCATTTTTCGAAACTAAGGTAGCCATTGCATACGTGGTTCTTATTCACTCGTGAGTAAACCTGTCAAAATGAGTTATAAACTCATTTCTTAACCTATATATTAGTAAATTGATCATAAATATGTTAGTTATGTTTAGTAAATGGGTCATAAATGGGTATAGGTATAAAATGGGTGTTAAATGGGTCATAAACGGGTCGTAAGTGGGTCATAAATAGGTTTATAACTTATTTAAATTCAACTCATCTCTCTCGCCCTCACTCAATCTCGCGTTCACTCATTCCGCACTCTCATATCAGTTTAGGTATGAGTTTTCCTATATTTAGTTAAATATTGAAGTGTTTTAGCAATACGGGTCGGGTCGAGTATGGGTCAAAAAAATTGCAATGTATATAAATGGGTCATAAACGGGTTGATGGGTCAATTTGGGTTGGACCATTTGTGACTCGACCCACTCATTTTACAACTCTGCTCGTGAGCGATCTTGTATTATTTGATGCAAGCTAGTTCCTTATGTTCGTCTCAGAATGGTCCCATGTACGATGCTTTTGATTGGCAAAATCTTCAACCCCAAATGATAATATTGTCAGTATAGAGTTAAATATTACTTTGGTTCTTCGAGTTGAAACTAGACCTGTCAAAAATGGGTCATACGCCTGTTTGTTAATTCATATTTGATTAGGCGAGTTGTTGTATGTGTTAGTTATATTCAGTAAATATGTCATAAATGGGTCATACCGGCGTGGCTAAAAAAAAATCAATCATCTGGGGAAAAAAAGGTGACAGAAAATAGAAACGTATCGGTCAATTTTCAAAGCAAGGACGTATGATTGAGACCCAAAAGATCACATTTTCGTCAAAAGAAAAGACATCCCCAGAACATCATCAACTGCCAAAACGTGAAGAGTGTCAATGATTCCTTTCTAGTCTCATGATTCATGGCACGGTCAAAACAATGATGATGTCCCGATCGCTAGGATGATTGTGTACTAACGTGATTTCAGGACGTACCCTTTTGTCATTCTTGTTTGAAAAAACGGCAAAAAAGAGCAGATGTGAGAAGAAACGCGTGAATTTGCTAATTCTTCATGGACCATAGCGTATGCAAATCGTGACTCCAGCTGCATGATCGACCAGAGATTAGATCACGAAGGTGCGGAAGAATCTCTCACGATGATGATTCTGATCAAATCTAAAGAAAATCCCATGAAAAAATTCTAGCAATCGGCAATGAACGAGCACATATGGAAACAAAAACAAAGTTGCTGCAAATAAATACAGCAACAGAGATGGGACCAGCATATGAAATCCTGTTACTGTTCATTTCCATCTTTGCCATTTTGTTCATATATGGGAAGGATCTGTCTCCAACCCCAACACCCCAACTGGTTCTAATTGTTTAGGAAGAGGTTAGGATCGAGACAAGATCTGGTTTTTCACAAGGCTTGTGACAATGGCGATTGGAGGAGTGCTCTCACTTCCATGTCTTGCTCTGCTTCTCCTAGTGTCTTGGAATGCCGGGCTTGCAGCTGCAGAAGGCTTGCCGCCGTGCGAGTTCCCGGCGATCTACAACTTTGGGGACTCGAACTCCGACACCGGGGGGATATCGGCAGCGTTCTACCCGATGGGGTCGCCGACCGGCGAGACTTTCTTCCACAGGCCGGTGGGGCGGGCTTCGGACGGTCGTCTCATCATTGACTTCATAGGTAGGGATGGATTTTGAAGAGTAGTAGCACTTTTTATGGTGACGAGTCAGTTCGGTCAGATTTGAGGTTTGTGTCTTGTCAATCATGTAGCTGAGCACCTCGGACTGCCTTACTTGAGCGCGTATTTGGACTCGCTTGGACGGAGCTTCCGGCACGGGGCGAACTTCGCCACGGGAGGATCGACCATCCGGAGGCAGAACGAAAGCGTCTTCGAGAACGGGGTGAGCCCGTTCTCACTGGACATCCAGACGGCGCATTACAACCAGTTTGTGGCGCGCACGAGCTATCTCTACGAGCACGGTAAGCTAGCTTATAAGAAGATAGTTTCCTGGATCGGAACTATGTGTGTGTTGAAATTAATGTCACTCCTCCTAGACCTTTTGGCAACCTAGTATTATATTTGCTGTTTGTTGAAATTAAATTTGCAGCGAGAACTGAGAAGTTTCGCAGAAGCCGGCTTCCAAGGCCCGAGGACTTCTCAAAAGCGCTCTACGTGTTCGACATTGGCCAAAATGATTTGGCCGCCGGGTTCCGAAAGATGACTAACGAGCAACTCAATGCTTCAATGCCGGAAATTGTCAATCAGTTGGCTACTGCAATCCAAGTAAGAAGCCAAGCAAAGCTCATTAGTCCTATGACAACGTCCGACGTTAATTCATGTTCTTACTCTAATCTCATCTGATGTATGGCTTTGGCTTCGGATACTTTATGACAGCATCTCTATCAGCAAGGAGCGAGGACTTTCTGGATACACAACACCGGCCCCATCGGTTGCTTGCCAATAACGCTACGCTATGTCCACAATCCGATGCCGGGGTACCTCGATCAGATCGGGTGCGTGAAGGAGCAGAACGAAATGGCCTCGGAGTTCAATCAACAACTCAAAGAAAGAGTGATGCAGTTGAGGGATGAACTGCCGGAAGCTGCACTGACTTATGTCGATGTCTACGCGGCAAAATACGGCCTCATTGCCAACTCCACGAGAGAAGGTAATCGTCTTCGAGAACCTTGGAACATATGAAATTTCCCCGAATTTCGGTTTCTAGAGAAGAGTGTCCTGACTCCTATGTGCCTGCGTTAAAAGGTTTCAAGTAATCTGTGTCAACCTAATTCGGACATACAAATTTCGCCATGTTACACTGTTACGGTTAAACCCGAATCCTCTTGATTACTGGGTTCCAAGCAGAAATAACTGTTAGAACACTCCGATATAGCTTCGTTTCCATGAACTTTGGTCTGAATTTATTCGCGAAATCGGCTATTCTCATTTGAACAAGAATTGGGACAGTTGAAACTCAGTTTTCTTGACAGGATTCGAGAGAGCAAGGAAGATGTGCTGTGGATATGAATGGGAGGAAAAGCATGTGTGGTGTGGGCAGAAGGCAAGCATAAACGGGAGCGAAGTGCTCGCTGGTTCTTGCGAAGACCCTTCCATTTTCATCAGTTGGGACGGCGTCCACTACACCGACGCGGCGAACCACTGGATCTCCGAGCGCATCCTCAGCGGTTCTCTGTCCGACAGGCCGGAAGTCCCGATCACGCACGCCTGCTATAGGGTGTGACTTTGTCATCACTAAAGCTTCAATTTTCATCCGTGACAGTGTGACACAAGAGAAAACAAGAAAGACCAGTACCATGTGTTGGAACCAAAAGAATAATAATAAACTTTGAAAACTTGGAATAAGAGCTCAAATAATTATTGGAGGAAGAACTTTTTATTTAGAATGCTTTGTCTTTGTGGCTTCGTGTTTGGCTTGATTTACAACTCACGACTCTATCCCTTTATATGGGAATTGAAGTTCACAAACTCCAATGATTACATTTAATAAAGAAAACATAACAATCCACAATCATTAAGAAAAACAATAAAACAGCTTAATCTGTTGAAGAAAAACGAAGCCACGTTGAAGTCTTTATGACTCTTCTTTAACGTTTGTAGCTTCCAGCATCAATCACACCAATAATCAATTTTATGTTACTCCAATAGCCTCCCTTAAAATTGATTTTGGAATTCAACAACACCGAGCATCATCTTTAATTTTTTGAACGTCTCTGTCTTTAATGGTTTCGTCAAAATATCTGCAATCTGATCTTCTGACCTACAGAAATTAAGTTCGATCTCGCCATCTTTGACTCTATCATGAATATAGTGATGAAGATAACGCTATGTGATTCTGCTCACTGTCGAAAGTGCAACGACTTGTTGTTTTTTCGAGGACCAAGAAATTACTCCTAATCCAAGAAAGAAAGCATTTCCAGAAGTACTCTTTCGAGTCTCAATATCACCTGCCCAATCACTATCTGTGTAGCCCACCAAATTGAAATTATCGGTATAAGAATATAAAATTCCATGATTACGAGTTCCACTGACATACCGTAAAATTCTTTTTGCTGCCTGCAAATGTGATTGGTATGGTTTCTCCATAAACCGACTAATAATTCCCACGCCATAAGTAATATCTGGCCTAGTAGAAGCCAAATATCTTAAACTACCAACGATGCTTTTAAAATAAGTGGGATTTACTAGTTCACCGGCTCCTTCTTTCTTTAGCTCCAATCGTTCTGCTACGGGAGTTCGTATTGGTTTGAGTAATTCCATCTTCAATCGCTTCAAAATATCATTAGCATATTTCTGCTGTGAAATAAATATGCCATCATTTGTTTGCTTCACTTCAAGGCCTAAAAAATAGGACATCAATCCTAAATCTGTCATCTCGAAATGGCTAGTCATAGCCTCCCTGAATTCAGCAAACATCTTTGGATAGCTCCCTGTAAATATCAAGTCATCAACATAAAGGCACACAATTATTATGTCACCGTTAGTATTTGACTTGATATATAGTGTATGCTCATACGGACACTTTTGAAAATCATGCTCTAATAGGTAAGTGTCAATCCTCGTGTACCACGCTCAAGGTGCCTGTTTTAGCCCATATAATGCCTTTTTTAGTTTGTAAATTTGATTTTCATGCCCTTTCTTCTCATAGCCCTGCGGTTGCTCCACATAGACTTCCTCTTCAAGAACACCATTGAGAAATGCTGATTTTACATCCATTTGATGGATCTTCCAACGATTCTGAGCTGCGAGTGCTAAGATCATTCGAATGGTATCCATTCGAGCCACTGGTGCAAATACTTCAAAATAATCAATACCTGGCTTTTGTTTGTAGCCTTTTACAACCAATTTGGCTTTATGTCGATCCACTTGACCGTCAGGCTTGTACTTCGTCTTATATAGCCACTTGACACCAATGGGCTTCTTACCAGGTGGTAAAGAAGTTAACTCCCATGTGTCATTCTTTTCAATGGAGTGGATTTCTTCATCCATTGCTAGGATCCACTTCTCATCTGCTGCTGCATCATCATAGGACACGGGGTCACATTCAGCAAATAAACAAAAATTTATCATAGTTTCATCAGTGATTCTATCACTATCACTATCATCATCTCTTGTAACAACATAATCCTTGAATCTTGATGGCGTCTCCCGCAATCGCTGTGAACGACGTATCGGCGGTTCTGAAACTGCTCTTGGTGAAGAAAATGAACTACCAGGCAAAGATGATGGATCTTCAGTTGAAGATTTTTCTGTCTCTCCCACCAATGGTTCGTCTTCGATGGTGATGCTTTTCTGGTCAATCTTATGGTTCCAGTCCCAGGCTTCATCTTCAAAAAACTGGACATCCCTGCTGATGACTACCTTCTCAGTGACTGGATTATACAGCTTATAACCCTTAGTCATGTCACTGTAGCCGATGAAGATGCACTTCTGGCTTTTCTCATCCAACTTTTTCCTCCGTTCATCTGGTATATGGGGATATGCCACGCACCCAAATACTCGTAGGAACGAAACATCTGGCTTGTTGCCACTCCAAGCCTCTTCTGGGGTTCTTCCAAGAACACTCCTTGTTGGACACCTGTTTAGCACAAATACAGCACACGCAACGGCTTCTGCCCAAAACTTCTTGGGTAAATTTTTAGCCTTTAGCATACTTCTTGCCATTTAAAAAATTGTCCTGTTCTTTTTTTCTGCTATACCATTTTGTTGAGGAGTATAGATGGTAATCAACTGACGTTTCACTCCATGAAATTTACAGTATTTGTCAAATTCATTCGAAGTGAATTCTCCCCCTCTATCTGATCTCAACGTCTTTAAAATAAAGTCACTATGCTTTTCAACATAAACTTTAAATTCTTTAAATTTGCCAAAAGCTTCAGATTTTTCTCTCAGAAAATATACCCATATTTTTCTGGTAAAATCATCCACAAAAATTAACGTGTACCTTTTTTGTCCGACTGATTCCACCTCAACAGGGCCACAGATGTCTGTATGTACCAACTCCAATGGTTGTTTTGCTCTTCTGGCTTTTCCAACTGGAAAGGATTCTCGATGTTGTTTTCCAACAAGACATCCTTCGCATGGTCGATCTGGACTGTCAATCAGAGGCATGCCGGTCACCATCTTTTTCTGGACTAGTAATTTTAGTCCACGAAAATTTAGATGACCGAATCGAAAATGCCACAACCGGTTTATATTTTTCATCATCGCTTGAAAACTCAAAAGATTCTTCGTCTGAAGAGTCAAAGGGAACATTTGGTTCTTCGTCATTTGCACCATCGTAATCAACTTATCATTCACACATTTGATGGTGCAAACTCCATTTTCAATATGGATTTTATGGCCTCTTTCGGAAAGTTGTCCAACACTTAACAAATTCCAAAAAAGTCCCGGTACAAAGAAAACATCTGCAACAGTAACATTAGTACCATCTTTTGACTTGATATTAATGTTACCTTTGCCCATTACGAGAACCTTGGATTTATTCCCAAAATTAACTTCACCACGAACCGTCTCGTCCAATTGCGAGAATAACTCCTTTCGGCCAGACATATGATTACTACACCCAGTATCAAGGTACCAGATATTGGTGTCCACGATGCTTGAGTCATCCTTCTTGCACGCTAGCACCACATTTCCCTTGGCATCAATGGCATGTGCTTGTTGTTCCTGCTCGTACGCCACCTTTGCTTTACATTCGGATTTGTAACGTCCGAATTTGTTACACTTAAAACACTTGACCTTTGATTTGTCACGTGTTTTATATTTTCCGGTGAAATTAAAATTTCCACGTCCACGTCCTCGACCACCTCCATGACCTCGGCTACCTTGATAGCCTCCTCGGCTTGATCGAGTGACCCGACTCTGCAATGCTTGCTCGGGAGTCGAATCGACGGACTTTTGATTCATTCTGAGTCGAATCGACGGACTTTTGATTCATTCTTTGCTCATGCAAGCACAATGAACCCATCAACCGCTCCAACGTCATGGTTGACACATCTTGCCCTTCTTCAATATCCGCGACAATGTAGTTAAATCTTTCGATCAAAGACCTCAAGATCTTTTCTGCAACTCGCACATCTTGGAGTTCTTCACCATTAACCCTCAATTGGTTAACAATGGTCTGCACACGATCAAAGTATGCCGAGATTGATTCAGAGTCATTCATACGTAAAGACTTGAAATCTCCTCGAAGTGTTTGAAGCCGCACACGTTTGACACGATCATCGCCTTTGTAGGATTGTTGCAAAATATCCCACCCTGCTTTTGCGGTTTCCGTGCTCGATATCTTTTCAAATATCATTTCCTCTACGGATTGAAAGATCGCAAACAATGCTTTCTGATCTTTTTTCCGAGATTCCACCAAAGAGTCTTTCTCCTCCCTTCTCAAAGCATCGAATTCTTCAGCATTGGCCACTTCGGTGTATCCATTTTCCACCAAGTTCCACAAATCTTGCGATTTGAAAAGAACCTTCATCTGGACGGACCAGTTATTGAAATTCCTCCCATTCAACTTTGGAAGTTGTAACTGAACGGAACTAGTAGATGCCATTTCTAGCTCTGATATCAAATGTTGGAATCAAAAGAATAATAATAAACTTTGGAAACTTGGAATAAGAGCTCAAATAATTATTGGAGGGAGAACTTTTTATTTAGAATGCTTTGTCTTTGTGGCTTCGTGTTTGGCTTGATTTACAACTCACGACTCTATCCCTTTATATAGGAATTGAAGTTCACAAACTTCAATGATTACATTTAATAAAGAAAACATAACAATCCACAATCATTAAGAAAGACAATAAAATAGCTTAATCTGTTGAAGAAAAACGAAGCCACGTTGAAGTCTTTATGACTCTTCTTTAACGCTTGTAGCTTCCAGCAACCGACGTGCTCAATCACACCAATAATCAATTTTATGTTACTCCAACACCATGAACATTGTACCTGTGATTTTCCTCTTCAAATTGCAAAGGCAGAAGATTCTTATGCCCAGTTCTTCTTACAATCTAGGATTTTTATACGACATTATACGTCCTTGATGTGTCCTATGGCGACTAATTGTGAACACGGTTGTCTCACTGCCCGCGCACCCGTGCGCTCTTGCAATCACGTAGAGTGCAGTGGATGGGCACGCCGATCCCGCCGATACATAAACAAGCAAGTACTTGGTAATTTCGCCAGGTTATGGTCAAGGATGATAGAAATGGCACGATGGTCAGGATGCTTGATCGATCATCTTCATCCGTTTGATTGCTCGAGGAAGTCTCGTCGCTATCGCCTCTGTTCGCTTCCGAACGCCACGACGTTGGTCCACACCTCTTGCATATCGTCAACACGACACAAAAACAAGTCCCGAGTCCAAGAGACACTGTGGACATTCTCGGATACATTGAGTGAACGTCAGTCCAATACGTCTTAATTGAATTCCATGCGTGATTCGTTAAAGTCAAGGATTCAGATACATTAGGCTCACCTGCACTTGAATGACCTAGCCAAAATCCGGAATCAAGACCGATGCGGCTGCACACGAGATTTCAAAATTTATTTTCCTGGATGAGCCGGATGCATCTCAACCGTTCATGTATGCGGGCCCCAGGTAATCCTACCCTGGAGTTCCATCAGTAAATTGAAGTTGCTTTTTCCCTTAATACCGTCAAGTCTGACTTTTCGTTTCATATGATGGTCATCTTTTGAATTTAGAATCACACTTTTGGTCCTTCACATGCATCCTGGATCCCTCGGTTCTTTGCCAAATCTTTTATGCAGAGAACCGACCGTTTCGTCAAGACCCACCTAACCATGAGCCGTACATGCACATAACATTGTCTGCATCATTCATCAACTCGGAGCTTCCGACATCCGAGACAAAAAACATGCCACGTGAGGGCCTGATGACAACCAAGATTTTGCCTCTCTCATCACCGATTCACCATATCCTGAACAAATGATTCTGCTCCAAAACATTCCCAAAAATAGACGGTTGGATGGATCAGGTTTAGGCTTAACAGCAAATGCAAGACGTGGAAGGATGATCCGCACGACACACTTTAAGCAGTGGGATTAAGGGTGTCCTGATCTTCTCTTTTCTCTGCCAATTTGGACGGGTTTTGGCCCAAACATGAATGGAAACTGACGATGCACGAAGGTCTCGCGTTAACCCATTAGATATTGCAGTGTGATTGATGTGAGGAAAGTGACGGTGTCCTTTTTCAAGGCGGTGCTTGTAGAAGTGAATGGTGTCCAGCCAGCCAGGCCCACAACGAATTGCTCTCCTCCATAATTGCACTGTTTGTCCGTATATGCAGGAAGATAGAATTACCCAGAAGGAAAAAGGTGCCCAAAGTTGATGTAAGACGTGAGCACAGTGTTCGCACACCCCACTTTTCATATATAGCTCAGACAAATCAGCCACGGCTGCAGTGAGAATTTAGCTAACACGGTCCCGTTTAATGGGGTTCTGGGGAGTTCTTGTTCCTGGGCTGCTTGTAATAGCTTTGTGTTGTTCTTGTTCTTCGTGGGTGCTGAGGGTGGAGGCCGATGCTGCATTACCCGCCTGTGATTTCCCGGCAATCTACAACTTCGGCGACTCCAACTCCGACACCGGCGGCATCTCCGCCGCCTTCGACCCCATCCCTCCGCCGTACGGCTCCGCCTTCTTCCACAAGCCCGCCGGCCGAGATTGTGACGGCCGTCTCATCGTAGACTTCATTGGTAAGTTTTTTTATGCGTTCCCTGTTAGCATTTAGATGGATGGAGTGATTTGTTCTGATCTTTATACTACCTTCTGTGATGGGTCCAGACATTCTCTCGTTGCTAAACAGATAAAATGATAAAAGCAGAGCAGATTTGAGCTAAATTTATTTTTCTTTCTTTGTTTTCGTTTCGTGTTTTTCTTTGGCAGCTGAGAAGCTGAAGCTACCATATTTGAGTGCCTACCTGAACTCTCTAGGAACAAATTACAGGCATGGTGCGAATTTCGCGACCGGTGGATCAACCATTAGGAGGCAAAATGAGACAATTTTTGAGTATGGAATCAGCCCATTTTCACTTGATATGCAGATCGTGCAATACAAGCAATTCAAGCAACGGACAGCCGAATTATACAGCCAAGGTGATAAGGCCAAAATCTCCTAATTAAGTAGACACGATCTATCTGATCTCTGGTAGCTGTTCAATTCTTGAATTATTATTTGTTCATATAATTGACCAGCCACGGAATTCTCGGAGAAAAGCAAATTGCCGGTGCAGAAGGACTTTGCAAAGGCGCTATACACGTTTGATATTGGGCAAAATGATCTCTCTGTTGGGTTCAGGAAGCTGAACTCCGATCAGCTCAAAGCGGCATTGCCGGATATAGTGAACCAGTTAGCTTCAGCTGTTCAAGTAATTTGAATTCTGAGACTGATTTAATAAAGATATCAAATCTTACCTATAAAAATTGAGGGTGTTGATGATTTTGGGTCTTTCTAACCTTTCTTCAGAACATATACCAATATGGGGGGAGGTCATTTTGGATTCATAATACTGGGCCGATTGGGTGCTTGCCGGTGCACTTTTTCTACAATCACAATCCGCCACCTGGGTATTTGGATGATCATGGGTGCGTGAAGTTTTATAACGATATGGCCGTCGAGCTCAATAGGCAGCTCAAGGAAAGGGTGGTCAAGCTGAGGCAAGAGCTCCCCGAGGCTGCAATTACTTATGTTGATGTTTATGCTGCAAAGTTTGCGCTCATCGGCAGTTATAAGAGCGAAGGTAAATTTTGCACTCAATATACTATGGCTAGCTCAGTTTGCTAGTGGAGTACTCAGAGGAAATTTTATGCAATTTCCTGTGCTTTAAAAGATTTGGCCGAGCACACTCTTGCTGTGAGAATTTGCTTAAATTACGATGTGCGTCGATTTCCCTCTATTATGATCAGCCAGGATAATATACAGTTGCGACATATTCACTTGCCTGATATTATTTGTTCCTTATGAATCCATGAAGCGAGAGTTTATTGGAGATATTGTAGAGGGTCATTTACGAATGGTTCGACTGATGCTGTAGATGGTGAAAGATAACTGACTGATGTTGCACTGTCTTGGCTTACAGTAAACTGGCTTTATGGTGCTTGCTATTGTGAGATCACATTGGCGGCTCTTATGAGACTTGTCTTCTAGCTTTAGCTTCATTCTCTGTCTTCCCTTTACAGGATTTGTTGACCCCTTCAAGGTTTGCTGTGGATATCACGAGAATTACGACCATATCTGGTGCGGAAATATAGGAAGTGTCAACGGCACCAAGGTGTTCGGTGGTTCTTGCAAGGATCCTGCTACTTCTATCAGCTGGGACGGGGTCCATTATTCCGAGGCCACGAACCACTGGGTTGCCAATCGCATACTCAACGGTTCGCTGTCCGATCCACCGACACCAATCACTCAAGCATGTCACAGGCGTTAGAGTGTGCGTGCGCGTGCAATGCATGCGGGTGTAGTGATTATCGCAATAAGAGTAAAGAAGCTTCAGGAATTGACGTAGTTTACAATTTAATTGTATCACTAGTACTATGCCGGACTGTTTCAAGAAGTTGAGATATCCCATCTCATCTTAATCAATCCATCCAAGAGCATTTAAGCTGTCAAATTGTGAGAGAGCAATGTGTCGACAATGGATGTATCAGCATTGGTGTCATCTTTCAAGATTTATTATCTTTATTTATTGGCGTAATCATCGCAAATCCATCTGTGCCTATTCTCAGATAAATTTACACGCTGGACATTTTCTGCTTCACTGTGAAAGCAGAGAGTGGTTGCCTTGGTCTGGTTTTGCTGATGTGAGCTCTAGCAAGTAGCAACTCAACGAGTGTCACAGGACCAACATCAATCGGCAATCAGCATCGTCTTATGTATCCACTTCTGTATCTTCCAAAATGACAGTACTCGAGCTTCATAACTACAGATTGCATCACTTTCCAATCGAAACACTGTTAGAATGCCCGCAGGGAATGTAAAACTCCGCCACTTGGCGGAACACTTGCTTAGACTCAATCTATCATGAATGAATGGGTAGTCGTGGATAATGGAGAATCCACATGATTACCGTTGTACTAGTGCTTGTTTCATTGACCAGCCCGAACACATGCTTTCGCTATCTCCAGAATGCTGGCTGAGCCATTCGAGGATGCTTTTGGAAATAGTATGTTGTTTAAACAAGCGTTAGAAGTCCTAAGTTTTCACTTACCTTTTGTCAAGGTACAAAACAAAATAGTTGGGTTGAATGAATATATAAGGTGAAAGTAAGAAGGGACTTAATTGACACGAACTATCATAATGACCTTGAAAGTAAGTAGGGCCTCTCGCTATGTCGTTGGTACCGTCGTCCTAAATTTTGGAATAATGATATAAATAATAGCCCAATTTTAACTCAACGTGTAATATAGTATTTGAATTTTAAATTTGTCTACTACGATGCACATGAAATCAAATTTCGATGATGCTAGCTTTACAAAGAGGGAGTCAAAAATTTGCCCCTCCATAGAAACCTCCATCATTAGCGCGACTGATAAAACAAAGTGACAAGTTCATAGACTTCCGATTTTGTCCTTTGGGGCAAATGATCACGAATTCGCTTCTGATGAACACTATTCATAATTGGCCAATCGATCAACTCGCATCGCATCAAATTACGAAATTTTTTTGAATTCCGACCGGCCCCTGGACCCTTCCATGGCGCATTTAAAAAAAAAAAAACGCTTCCTTTTTTTCCTCCAAAAGCGAAAGCCCAAATCGAAAATCCGAGTAGAAAAAGGGGACATCTTTTTGGCCGAAGAAAGTTTTGAATTCCAATCCAATCGCATGCGAAAAGGTCCAGCGTCCGTCGCATCGAATCACCCATCGCGAGCCGTCCGATCTCCGCCCATCCCAGCCCCGCGCGACCCACGCCGGGCCCCACCCAGTGGGGAGGAAGAAGAAGAAGAAGAAGAAGAAGAACAACAACAACAACAATCGATCAATCCGAGCCCGCGCCCCACCACCCCCCACAGCATCGCCAATTGAAGGGGAGAGTTCAAATCTCGTTCCTTTCGCTTCCCTGAAGATTCACGGGAGAAAACGACGCATACCCTTTCCTTCGTTCGATCCGACGTTGTCGATTTCGCCGTGCCTTTTGCCCCGTCCGCCCCCCTCGTGCTCGCGTTCGACTTTCTTGTTTTTTCTTTTGTCAGAAGGTCAGTGGGCGAATTAATTTTGCCTGATACAGACCTCCTCAGACCAGTCGAAGACCGCGTTCGGGCGAGATTGGATTCGTTAAGAAGCTTGCGTGCGCTTCTTCTCGGTTGATCCAAGGTCGTTTCACTCGTGGGATTTTGTTTGCGATTTGGGTTTGTGTTCGCGGTTGATTCAGGTGGGTTGGTGAATCGGTTTCCAATTCTGGGTGTGGGTTTTGCGCTGGTTTCTTCTTCTCTTCTTAGTTGTCTTCGTGAGTATCGATGTGGGTTTAGCTCGATTGCTACGACTTTTGCTTGTTTGACTCGTTCAATCAGTCTTTTGATTTGATGATTCGTTGGTGGAGAGTGTGCAAAGCATTTGATCAACACAGTGTTTCCCTTTTGAGTAAGATCACTTGAGGACTTTGTTGAGCCTGGTCAGCTCTTTTGTAGCTCCAGTTCTTGTGTTTTTAGAATGTTTTGGCTGCGTATTTCAATGGGTTTCTTCTGTTTATCTTAAGAGAGAAGATATCTGTGGCGAGTGCGGGATTGGTGGTTCTTTTGTGGATTTCTTCTGCATTGTTCGGGTTCTAGGCGAAAGAACAGATATTCATCGGAAGAGCTTATACAGAGTGAAGAAAAGGGGCTCTGGGTAGATTTCCGCTTGGGCTAGTGTTTACTTTCCATTTGCAAGCCCTTGGAGTTATCATCGTACAATGGTTTACCATTTTGAAATTCTTGATATCAATCTATTACTCACAGCTGGAATTTTCCATTATCATCTTTAGCTGAAATCGTGTGACATGTAATACAATGGAATTTCACTGCTATAAATGAGATATCTTTCAAAAGATTCATTGTTTAACACAATGGAATTTCAACTGTCGTGACTGATATATTTTCTTATATGCATTGTCAGTTGAGTGTGTTTCAAAGTGCAAGTAGCTAAGTGGGTTTGTATTTAGTGTGAACAAGATGATGCACAGTTATTTGGCCACTGTAGATGTTAGATGGATGAATTTCTCTGCTCCAATGTGCTTCTTTATTTAACTCTGTTTTTGCTTAACTTGAAATGCCCTTTAGTTTTGGTGCTGAAGCTCCTAGTTATTTTCTAAAATCTTTATGTTGATTGGCAATCTGTTGGTAAATGGTAATGAGCGATCCAGTCCACATTCGATGCTTTGAAGATTGTTAAAAAATTGTTTGCTAGTAGAGTAGTATGGCATTAACTGTCCAAATTATCCTCATGTCTATCAGTTCAACACTCTTTTCGTCTTTTATGCAATAACTAACTTTGGATAACTAAGGCCTGTTGAGTTCAAGAATAATAATATTGAGGTGGCTTTTAAATAATATACGTCGCCCCTGCTTGAAACTTTTCGTTAAGGATGAGTCTGCAGTCTGCACGTTTTGTGTCTAATTTGCACTCTTGTCTAAAACCTTCAATATTCGTGCCATGATTTCAGGTCTCTGGCCATGAGGGTGGGCATATATTCTTGAAGCGAGAAATTGGAACTTGATGAATTTTTGGGTAGCTGTTGCTGGTCTGTTTGCAACTTCTAGCTCTGTGACTTGAGATTGTGCGGATTGACTTCAAATGGGAACCTCCATACGCATGTATGCAAGTTTCATAATTTTTTTTGCTAGACGATGCTCTTGAAGTTTCATTTGGAGTTTCACGAGTTCGTGGTCTCTGATTACAGCAATGCAACAAATCTGTTCTTATTAATCTATATAATATGTGCAGTGGAAATATAAGAAAGCCGAACGAAGCAATGAGGCTTCTGGTTACAACTTTTGTAGGAGTTGTTTTTGGCTTCTTCCTTGGTGTTTCCTTTCCAACACTCTCATTGACCAAGGTACAAGATTGTTACCCTCTGTACTAACAACTTTTCTCAGTCTTTCCGATTTTTTTTGCTGGATGGTCAGCTTCTTCCTTTAGTCTCTTTGTATGGCACGCTCACGGTTGCATATTTGAATTTTTAGTTAAATCTCCCGTCGGCACTTTTTCCTTCAATCGATTTCACATATATCGAGGACAAATACTCGGGCCTTTCAACTCAGGCGCTTTTGAATGCCTGGTCTTCTTTGAAGGGAAATGAAGGGAGTGCAACTCCAATTCTAGAATTTAATAGCTCAAAGGTATATCTAACCTTCTCATGTCATCCCTATCTTGCTGCATGATCTGGTATACTTCTGTCTGTATTGAAATTTCAGTGTTCTCTCTGTTTCTTCATTTCACAAAGCAGCAAGTAACTCTTGAATTCCGCTTATAATAATCTCATTTTGCTGACTCACTGTTCCTACTGTAGATTTGGGTTCCAACAAACCCTCGTGGTGCTGAAAGACTTCCCCCAGGGATCATTGCTGCTGAGTCGGATTTCTTTCTACGCAGACTATGGGGTCTACCCAGTGAGGTTCGTATCATTTACCATGAAACACCACGGGGTGTCCGAGATGCATCCATTTGCACTCTATGATCCTGATGCATGCTCGATCATTCTGTAGTTCCAACTTGAAAAGATGCAAGGAGAAAGTTATTATTAAGCACTGACATAATTTTGATAAATATTGAGAAAAGACTTTTCAAGTTGGATGCTTGACTGAGGTCTTGATGCAGGACTTAATGACCAAACCAAAGTATCTCGTGACCTTTACCGTTGGCTATGAACAGAGGAAAAACATTGATGCAGCAGTTAAGAAGGTCTCTCTCTCTCTCTCTCTCTCTCTCTCTCTCTCTCTCTCTCTCTCTCTCTCTCTATGTCTCACACACACACACACACACACACACACACACACAGAGAGAAAAAGGAATTTAAAGAATGACAACTGTTGTTTGTGGACAGTTTTCAAAAAATTTCACCATCATGTTATTCCACTATGATGGTCGAACAACTGAATGGGATGAATTTGAGTGGTCAAAGACAGCTATTCACGTGAGTGTTCGGAAGCAAACTAAATGGTGAGTCTATTAGGTGATACCTCCAGATCTGTACTTAGCTTGCACATGACAATTTTCGATGCACAACTAACTCCGTGAAGCAGCCTACGTACTTACGTTCTCTAAATTATGTTCCCAGGTGGTATGCCAAACGCTTTTTGCATCCTAACATTGTGGCAGCATATGATTACATATTTATCTGGGATGAGGACCTGGGAGTGGAGCATTTTGATGCAGAAGAGTGAGTATTCGTTTTTCCGCATCCATCTTTGTAGTCGTTTGAATTTGATTATACATGTGCATCTTCCCAACACTATTTCTACTTCTAATGAAATTGAGGTTTTACCGACATTCTAGGTACATAAAATTGGTAAAGAAGCATGGCTTAGAGATTTCCCAGCCTGGTTTAGAACCAAACAGTGGATTGACATGGCAGATGACAAAGAGGAGAGGAGACAGTGAAGTTCACAAGTGAGAACGGTGCCACTTCATACTTCATGTTTGGCCTCTTATAGATCAGTATAAAATCTTGCGCCTTAAAGCTCCTTGCGATTGACGTTTTCATTTTCACCTGCAGAGATACAGAGGAGAGACCTGGCTGGTGCAGGGATCCCCACTTGCCACCCTGTGCAGCGTACGTACTCTTATAATTATATCTAAAGGACAATCAAACCAGGCAAAACATTATTTTTTCTCACCCCTAAATTTTCAGATTTGTGGAGATCATGGCACCTGTGTTTTCTCAAGAGGCCTGGCGTTGTGTTTGGCACATGATTCAGGTGAGTGATAGATAATCATCCCTCTTTCCTCATCCAAAACTAACTGCAGATGTTGCTGCTTTTTAGTCTTTACTTTAGCTTGTGCTCTTGCTCCGCATGCTTGAAAAATCTTCATGTTGTTGTGCAGAATGACTTGGTTCATGGATGGGGTCTGGACTTTGCCTTGAGAAAGTGTGTGGAGGTTCGCAGTTTCTTCCTCTCCTACTGAATATACCTATATAGAGAGGTTCACAGGCTGGTTCACTGACAATTTCTTTCTTTTTTGTGGAGACAGCCTGCTCATGAGAAAATAGGAGTTGTTGATGCTCAATGGATTGTTCATCAAAGTGTGCCATCCCTCGGCAACCAGGTCGGTGAATAGTGTTACGTGTTGGCGTGGTGGCTTACGTACTGTGGACATTGTTAATCGTTGTTATCCTTTGAACTGTTGATAGGGGCAAGCAGAGAGTGGAAAGGCACCATGGGAAGGGGTTAGTGTCCAATTCCGATTTTTTTTAGGTACTGATCTCATCTGATATGAATATCTAAAGTTCTGGTTGCTTTTTCCTTCAGGTCAGAGAGAGATGTAGAAAAGAGTGGACGATGTTCCAAGAACGAGTGGCGAGCGCAGAGAGGGCCTATTTCCTGGCCATGGGAATGGATCCTCCTAATTCCACGGCTCGTTAAGCGGCACAATGCAGACAATGACAGATGATGTCTTTGTAGGGTTATAACCTTAGTTGGCTGAGGGTTGTGTGACCTCAATGTAACTTGGTGAGCTTGAGAAATGCCCCGAAACTGTTTTGGTTGGTGTTTTGTCAATGAGAAAAGGTGTCTTCTGGTATCCAAGAGGGTGATGGTGTTGTGGGGCATTCTCTAAAGTCTTCTTCTTCATGGTTGCCCGCTGTTGAAGATCAGCATGATTTTGCTCGTGAAAGGTCGATTAATTTGGCAGATGAAATACAGAGTGGCGAGTGCTAGAGATCCGAGGGATTGTCCCGTATCTGTAAGAACTAGTTTGCATGAGCCTTTCTCGCAAACACGCTGAATTGGGGCAGCGCCTTGTGTTCGTGTCGATTTGTATCGGTAATAGTAGATTGCGACTTTCATTGTGACAACCTAAACGATTGATCAACGACAAGAACTCGTTAATTCATGTCAATGTACGAATTGATTGCGGCGAGCGATCCCTTATTTTGAATTTGGTCCTCACTGACAGATTTGTTACCCAATGCAGGTGTATAGCACTTTTGAGTAGCGCTAAAAGCTCGTATATCTTTCGAATTGGTTTGGTGCATATGGTGGAATCAGATCTGTCAAGAACACCCATTAATCAGCTTGCATATATAATCTAGAATTGGTAATTATCAAGAACGCCCATTAATCACCTTAGCTATCCGGGGCAGGTTTGACATAAAAATTTGTATTTGTTTGATAACGTAATTTCATTTTTTTTTATTTTTGGAACAAATTTTGATTTTAAAAATAAGTTTAGAACAAAAATGATAAGTAAAATTTTTCTATTTCTGAAACAAAAATAAAAAATAAACTCTTCTCATTGCTTGCCCTTGCTACTAATCGGCCGTCCATCCACTGCTTGCCGCCTCTCATCGGATCCACCTCCTGCTGGCTGCCTTCGCTCGGCGACCGCCTCCTGCTGCTATCTGCTATCCTCCATCGCCTGCTAGCCATTGTCGCCTGTTGCCCAATGCCAGTTGCCTCCTGCCGTCTGCCACTGCTTGCCATATCCCTCCCGCCGTCTGTCATTGCTCGTAGCCGACTGCCTCCGGTTGCCTCCCGCCGTCCAATGCCGATTGCCTCTTGCCACCCGTCATTCTCCGCCGCTCGCCTCTCGAGGCTGGCCATCCGAAAGGAAGAAATTTTATATCATTATCAAACGTATATTTTTCTAAAAAATTCATGTAGAGATAGAAATAGAAAAATTTGATCAGAAATTGATTTCTAGTAGCTTTTTAGCAGTTCAAGCTAGCTTTAGGAATTTAAAAAGGCTGACGGAGAGTGAGTTGTTAAATTTGAAAAGAGGGAGAAATAAAAGAGCTGTCTTTATCGCCAGCGCCTGAAGAGCGAGCGAACCCGAAAAGACGATTTGAATCCCTCCAGAAATTTCCCTGCAAAAAAATTTTCCCGCTAATTGGGGTCGGGCCGCTCTCGCATCCCAGTCTCCGCTCATGGACTTGGCGACCCCATCGCCAGCTGAAGCCGACGACGAGTGGGAGCTCTGCAACGACGACGGCTTCATCTACAAGCGCAAGAAGCGGCGCCTCGACCCCTCTGCGGCGGCGCCGCCTCCGCCGCCGCCAGACCCACTTGCGGAGGAGCGCCACCGGAGGGAACGCAAGAGAAGGGCGCTTTTGAAGATAAAGGGTCGGTACCAGGAGGAGCTCGCGCTCTGGGAACACCTGTCGAACACCTGTCGGGCGATGCAAGAGAAGGCGCGGGAGCTTCAGTTGGAGCGCGAGAAAGAGAAAGAGAAAGAGCGGGCGTCGTCGTCGTCGTCGTCGAGTGGGTCGGCCGACGAGGAGCTTGACAGCCAGAGGCGCGATTTTGGGTCGGCCATTGACAAGCTGCTCTTACAGGTAATTTGGGGGGGGGGGGGGGGTCGTTTGTGCGTTCGAGCTGATTGAATTAGGGTTTTTTTTGGGGGTGTTGAGGAATCGTGACGAAATGAGAGAGAAGAAGCACATTCTTGAATTCAGTCCTTCGACTTGGTTGATCTTTCTTGGTTTTCAGCTAACGAACAAGACGCTTTAGGGTTTGATATGAGCTGCTGTTATGTGGCTATTTTTGTTCTCTGAGATCTGATTTCGTGTTCTCATTTGTTCAATTCCACTTCAATTAGCACTTTGGGGTCTTTGGGTATCGCTTGACCTTAGTACTTCTCTGTTAAGTAGGATCTGTACTGGGTGCTATTTCTGTATTTCCGAGAGTTGGTAGTGCTGTTATCTCCACTTATAGTTGTGCTAGGTTGGGACTTGTCAGTGCTTTGGCTAATATCTTAAGCTCTCCAGTTGTTGCCTATGTCTGTTCCTTTAGTCTTGTATTCGTTTCTCTTGTCGGTTGTTATATCTTCTCAGAAGGGTTGTTTTCTGTATGCGGATTGCACTTGATTTGTCTTTCTTCTCATATTATTACTTTGATAGAGAGCATGAATGCGAATTCATGACCTAATAATGGGAATCTTCATAAGATGGACGTCCTGCGTAGTGGTGGCGTAGTGGTGGGGATTTATAAATGGGTTCTGTTCTTTGGAAGTTCTAAAATTTCTTTTGCTGCATGACTTTGAAGCTTCTTTTCCTTTCTTAGATCCAAACATGTTCTTGGTCTTGAAATTGCAGGCGGAAGCACAAGAAGCGTTAATTAATGACGTCTCAAATCTGTGTGATGTAGCTGAAGCACTTTCTAGTGTACAAGAGGAACAATTAAAACAGTCTTTGTTTGATCTTCCAGTTTGGGCTTCCCCACAAGAGCTCATGGCGGCGCTTTGTGATGAGTAAGCTTCTTAGGTTGGTGATTGTTTAGCTTTTGTAGCATGAAATCAAGGACGGGTCTACCACTCGTGAGGTTGATATTGTACAATTGCATTATTGACTTAGAGGGCTGTAGCATAAGCTAATCATTTGTATAATCCTTCTTGTGTAATTGAGTGAATATATTCTTGTCGTTCCTTATTTCCTCTCCTTTCTCCTCTAATTTATTTTTGCTTGGAATTGCATCATCTAATGAATGAGTAACAGCAAAAGTGTGTTTTGACACAATTCAAGGGAGGATCACTCCACTTAGGTTTGAAATAGCAATTGATCTTTGACGGATCTTTATCTTTCCTAAGGTTCTACTTGTCTGGTCTCAGCGGTCAGCACATTGAGCATTACAAGCCTGCATATTTCATTTTGACAAGACTTCTGTTGGTGGAACATTATAGGAAGAAAATTGTTCTCGAATCACGATAGTCTTCCCAATCTCCAATTACCCCTCATCTGTATATCGTATTTCTTTGAGTTCTTGTCCGGTGTTTGGCATTTTCATTTTAGGGCTTGATTTCTGCTATTAAAAGACTACGAGTTGCTGTTCTGTTACTGTGTTTGTCCTTTGAGGTCTGCTTGGACTCAGCTTGCTTATGTAAATCTACGTCAGTATGAAAAATTTAGCCCTAGATCAGCTGATCTGAAGCCTGGAGTAGTGAGCAGGTTTTTCGCCAGACAATGTCTTTGAACAATTGAAACTTGACTGACCAATGAGAGACTCCTTCTTTTGTATTTAACAAATGCAGTCATTGCTACACAAATCAATGCAAGATGATTGTCATTTAGAAGGTCCATCCATGGACATATCCCTTCTTAGTCCCATCTTCCATGCCAAAAAGAGCCACGTGAAGACATGTTCTGAGGCTTGATTTAAATTTATCTGCTGAGATTATAGCTGAACCTACATTCAGCAAGTGCATGTTCTGAACCTACATTCAGCAATCAGTTCTAGTAATGCTTTCTCTATTTCTTCACTTGCTGTTAATTTCTTAATTGGCTGGAAATTGATATGACCTGGGATATCTTTGACATCATAACTTTTTCATTTTCATCTTTTTCTATGTTGGAAGGTACAAATATGAAATAGTGAAACTATGTTAGGATCTTTCTAATGGCATTCATGCCTTTGCTGAAAGTATAGGATGCTATTCCTTTTTTTTTGGCCCCCCTTCTTCTCAGTTCTCAATCAAGTGCAGATTGAATGTGGCCCAAAAGAAATTATAGATTGAAGAAAAAGGAGGAGATATCTTGAATATGTAAATGATGCATTACATTTCAACATTCTTGGTCTTGCAGGCTGAATTGCAAGAAGCAATTATGTGCAACATCTCAAATCTTTGTGATGTAGCTGAAGCACTGTATGATGTACAAGTGGAAAGGTTAGAACAGTCGGTTGTTTAATCTTCCTGTATGGGTTTCCCCAAGTGAGCTCATGGCAGCACCATGTGACGAGTAAGCTTCATAGGTGGGTGATTAGTTAGCTTCTGTAGCACATGTTTTACAAATGGGTGTTCCAATGGTAAAGGTGTTTACCAGTTCTTTGTCAATTTTAAAGGACCCTAATCTAACCCAATCACGTGTAAGAGTGTAATATTCTTCTTGTCAAAGAGTGAATGCATTCTTGGTTAGCTTTTCACTTCTCACCTAATGTTGTTTCTACTTGCGACTTGATCATATGTAGAATGAGTGACTGGAATAGGTCTTCTGAAGCACTTATGGAGAGATCAATTTGCTTAATTGGGAAAGTGGAATTAACTTTGAACCGGTCTTTATCTTTGTACTTGGTATTGAGAAGGCAATATAGCGTGTGCATGATATTGAGAAGGCAATATATCGAAGGAAGAAGGCTTTGTCTATGTTATCCTTGTGAACTGAAATTTGTTTACCTTGCTAAGCTTGGTGATAAACAGCCAAGATTTGGCTTCGTCCTGTTTTAAGGAGATCAGGTTATTGCAAGGTTGCTTCCATGGAGCGCCATCATTTCCTTTTGGCTATGATGAATTTCTAGTATTCCCCTAGTCGATTTTTACTGGTAAAAACCATCACAGTGCTCACCCCCGAGTTATGAATTGGGTGGTGCCTTTGGAATGATCAGTCTAGTGCCACTAAAACCCCCCTATTGGCATGCCAGTCATTCACTGTAAAAAAGGTGAGGTGCAATGGCAGATCTTTACAATTGTCCTGTTCCACTCTAACCTGAAAACAGAGATGCATTTCTTGGAAGGAAAGGGTCTGTCTCTTTTTATTTATATATCTTTGTTTAAAGCACCAGTTAGTGATGCCACCCTGTCTACTGAGAAATTTAGAAAAGTCGATTGGGTTCAGGTACAATAAGTCCATTTAGCGTGGTCGAATTTGATCTTGTTCCATCTTTTGTGTAAAAAGGTCTTAGCCTATTCAATAAAATGCGACTTGCCTGGTGCATGACGATGTCTGTCTCTTAATTTTTCAAAAGATTTAAATTGGACAGTCTAAATGTTGGAGGAAACATGATACGTTTTTGCCTCCAAATAACCATCTCGCTGCATCCGTGAGACGACACAGGCTGAGAAGGAGCACACTCTCAGAGTCGGGATTGCCATAATAGAATTCGGCAACTCAATTCAATCAAGAGAGATTAAAGATATAACTAAGGACAAGCAGGCATTGCAAGAGCATCAATGGCCGACTACCGCATCACTAGACATTTCGGTGCATGAAGCAATGGTTCATGAAGCAGTGGTAATTAATAAATGAAATAAATTCCCAATCTGCCCGGACTCATCAGTACTAAGTAATCTTCAATGTGTTGAGATCAACGTCATTCAAACGGGATGGAACTACTTGTATTGGTTTGAGGATGAATCCAGCTTTTCGACATTCATCCTCCAGAAGCTTTGCCTGCGATGGCCCATCAGGGCAGTAAGCGACCACAGCTCCTCCACTGCCAGTGAACTTTGATGAGGCACCCACTCGTCGGGCCACCTCCACCATCTCTATGTTTAAAGCACCAAGGCATTCATCTCCAAACATGCTCCTGAATGAAACCACAAACAAAACTTAGTTACCACAGCCCGTGAGGCTGCATTCTGCTCAAGTAACTTGACCAGCAGCACATTTCAAACTTTGCAGGCGGGCCGTACTAGTGGGCACCATTCTAAATTTACATAAGCTCATTGAAAGATAAAGCCAAGCAATTGTACAATCAATCGATTTCAAGCAGCGATATAGTGATACTTGATAGGACACCTTATAGACTGTTGAACCCTTAAAACTGATCGTCAGTAAAGTGGGAAGTACGAAAGTATAGATAACCGGGTACTCCTCATGTAAGAGTTCTCCATCCACCGAATAAACAGTGCAACTAAAGAGCATCACCATTTTACCTTCGTAGGTCAAAATTACGATTCATGAGCTTTGAAAGTTTGGCATAGTCCTTTTCCAGTAATGCTTCCCTCCCCTCTAAGGCTACATTTGCAACTTCATTCATGGATGTAATTATGAACTTGTCTCCATTCAGCCACCTCTGTCGAACTGTGCTGTGCACCTGCATCCACAAAAAAGTTTCAGAAATACCCATCTCAAAGGTAGTTGAGAGTTCACATATATTTATATTAAGAATAGGCAGAAAACATTATTAAGCTAAATCAACGATTTAAAATGGGGAGTAGTGATTAGGAACCACCTTACAAGTCGAATCATAGTTTTAAGCATCAGTTTTGAATTGTTCACATTGATTTTATGCTTTGTCAAACCTCAAATAATACAGCAAATTCAACAGGAGAAATGTCTCCACAATTCAAATGAAAAGTTTTGATCACTGAGGTTGACCAAAATTACAAGCCTCTGCTAGGCCATGATTTAACTCATCAAGCTGGAACGCAATGATTAATAGCTCTCTCTTCACATTTAACAGACAACAAATTATGAAAGACACACAGATAAATAATCTAGGAACATTAACAGTTGCCATGATTGCCAGAGGGCATGCCCCTGCAAACTAACTAGAAAGCACTTTGGAATAGCACACGCGATTGCTTTTAAGTGCTGAGAACTGGGAGAAATTGCAATCTCTAGTAGCCTGCGCATTCAGGGAAATGAGGAAAATTGCAGGGAAAAAATGTAAACCAAACATGTAAATAAGAAGTCCAGGTAATATATCACGTTACGCTAACCTTTCCAGAATCACTTGGATTTTCAGCATAAATGAGATATAAAGGAGGGAGTAGACTTATATCCATTGGAATATAGACGCCATGCCCCAACTTCTCCATGTTTTCCTTGCTGAAATCCTACCAGGAGAAAAGAAATAAGCTACAATTTTACAGTGGTTCATACAACATATGCATGACTTTGCAAGAACATGGTGAACACATACCATGTAAACGAGGCCCCCATATACCTGGGCCACCCGATCCTGGAGGCCAGCAACAATTCCTAATTCCTTTTCAGCATTAAGAACAAGATTTGGTCTAACTTCCACTTTCACCAAATGCCTGACATTATAGAAGTCAAGAAGGCAATTTAAAGCAGCACACACTATAGCACTTGAACCCGAAAGCCCTGTCTGAGAAAACAAAGTTACAGTTCAGCAATATAATTAAGAGAAAATAAAGAAAAGATGAACTTAGTTCTATTCTGAAAAAGAAAGGCTCTCACAAGAAACTTGGAAGGGATAATCTAGTTAAAGTATATGTGAACCAAACAATCTAGAATAACCAGAACTAAAGCTAGCTCATTTTAGACAACAAGAGATGAAAAAGACGCAACGACAAGCTTACGAAAAATTGATAGCGATGCAGAAACAATACTACTCCTATAGGAAAAATGTAGGGAATCTAAGATAACGAAGAGTAGTTGACAACAATTCATGCTCAAGCTCCTCTCTTTACATCTCTTCCTTTTTACTTAAAATCTATAATCACTGTGGTGGCAGATACTTCAAATTGGGTGAGAAAGAGAGGAAAGTTCCTGGTCGGGAAAGGATACAGCTTATACATATGCAAGATATAAATAGCATCATTTGGTCAGCCTTAACAAACTTGGGTTATACACAATATCTGCCGACTCTAATAGCTATTATCCTTTGTATGCCACTCCCACACATCGACAAAGCAACTCTCGCTTTCCTTCATAATAACTCATGGAGAGGGGGGCGAGCGTGAGGAAGTAAACTTGCTAATTGAAAACAGCAAGGAGCCACAACACTAATTAGTCAGTAACTAGAGCTAGTGATTGCATAGTCGACTGAACAAAGATTCTAGGATAGTGACTCGCGGTTACAAGCCGTCGACCTTTTCCATGAAAATTCACCTATCTAAATCAAATAGACAGGAAGCATTCTAAAAAGAACATCATATTTGAGCAATTCACACTGCATAAAATGATTATCGCAACAAACCAAATAAACACCCTCAGCAGATAAAAACATAAAAGACCCCCGAACACTTTACCTGACGAGGGATATTTGTTTCATAAGAGAGTGTGAAATTCCCTCCATGAAGATCGATGTTGTTATCCTTGCAATAATTGCGAAAAACTTTACAGAGGGCCATGAGCAAACGGACTCCTCCATAGTACCCTTCACTTTGCAGCCGATTCACCTGCGTTCGCACCCATTCCGGATCAATCCTCTCATACAGCGAGAACACACAAATAAACTCGCGGGATTTCTCAAAATGGAGTTGCAGAGACAGGACACAGAACGTTGCTCTCGCATCAATCATCAAACTCATCACAGCACAACCTCCAACCACATTTCCAAAGCTAAAGCACGAGCAAGAGAACCGAGACAAACCCAGATCGCGACAAAGAAAAATGCAGCCAGATTCATAACGCGATCGCAGCCGCAAAAAAAAAGGAGCCGACACAGCTTCTCGGCGGCAACGGACGCCGTTCCAGAAGAACCAAAACCAAAACCCAGATCACGCACGCACATCGAGACGAACCTCACCAGATGATCGAGAGAATTGAAGTGGACGAGATCGTGGACGGGGTGAGGCGTGATGACGAGCTCGTCGGAGGGACGCAAGCGGACGGAGGCCCAGAAGTTGGCGAGGCTGAGGGAGATGGCGCGGCCGTAGTAGACGTCGCTCGGGTTCCCCAAGAGGCCGACACGAGCGTGGACCTTGTGCTCGATCGCCGCCGCCGCCGCCGCCGCCGCGTCGGAAACCGCCGGGGATTTGGCGCCGGCCATGGCGCGCGTGAGTGAGAGAGAGCGAGAGGAGAATTCAGCAAGTGATTATAATGTGCGGAGGTTGGGTTGATATCAAGTTCGATGTGATCTGGCCACGTCACTCTTCCGTGGCAGTCCCGCTCTGATAGTTGTGATTATTTGGACTTTACGTTTTGGTATAAATGAGATTTTTTTCTTTTTAAATACGATTAAGAATTTCTACGCTTGCATAATTAAATAAACGATGGTGAAAAACGATATTTAAATAAACGAATTCAAAGTATAGCTTTCGTCACTTATAAGAATAAGTACATTATTTCTTCATTCAATTTTAACTTAAATTAAAATGATTTGAAGGATGCTTATTTTTTTTCGTTCGAACAATTTTCATTTGATATTCATTACGTTTTAAAGATCACCCGTTATTCTTTATTTTTTTTTTAAACCGAGAAACCATACCTTATTTATACAAATTTATAACGTGTTTCGGCACTTGATTTGTGGGTAATGAATTTAAAGTCTGCATTTGTCATAAATCTGTGCAAGAATTCGAAAGATACTTCGGCGTACGTTGGACAATCACATCATATGGAACAAGGCATTTCCGAAAGGAACAAACAAATTTTACTAACGACGTAGAACAGAGGAAGGTACCGGATCCAGCATTTCACCAGTAAAGAATTAGAGAGACTGTACAATTTACTGGAAATGTACAGACTTGCAAGTCAAATTCCATTGTTAATGCCTTGGAAGTAGGATGAAGAAAGGCAGTCCCACAACTAAACAGAGTCAGAATCAACACAGATAAATTACCCATCATCACTCTTCTTCCTCTTCATCTTCGGGAAGCCCCGCATCGTCGCCAATACCTTCGAGCAACTTATCCACGTCTTCTCCCAGTTCCTCCAACCTCGAGCTCAGCCTCTCCACCCTGCTCTGCTCTTGACCGAGGCACACGAGCAAATCGTTCAGCTCGGCCTCACTCTCCTTCTGCGCCTCTTCCCGCGCTTCCGCCTTCACGGCCTCGAGATCAGGGAATGGTGCGGCGTCTCCGCTCCTCAAAGCTTTCACTTCTGTTTCGAGATTGAAGTTGGCCTGTTCGAGACTGTTGTAGGCATTAGATAGGCTCTTCAGATCAGATTCCAGCTTACCCACTAAATTACGGTACATGGATAAATCGGATTCGGCCTTGGCTTTCTCTGCCTTGAGAAACTCTAGGCGTTGAGATGACTCTTGGAGATCTCTTCTCAGAGTGTCTACTTGGACTCTCTCCGAAATTCCACCTGCCCTCTGCTCAGCTTGGGATGAACCACTGCCACCACCCCCGGTCTTCGCCAATTCCTCTGCCAGAGTCGCATTGCGTCCAAGTAGGCCCTTTAGCAGGAGAATAAAACGACAAGTCGAGTAAAATGCACGATGGGTTAAAAAAATACTATAGAAGTTCAAAAATTTCCGACACCCAGTCTGCTGCAACCACTTAAAATATTACACCGAAATTGAGCAGTCATATGGCCATATCATGGGCATGAAGAAATCAGCTGTACTTGCAGCATCAGAGTGCAAAACTGCAAACTGCAGCTTGTGGAGTAAAAGTGTAAAGATGATTTGGCCCTTTGAGTAACAGAATAAGCTGTAATCTACAATATCTGCTCCCTAAGCCCAACTAGTAATTTCAACTTATATGACTAAATAGAATGAATTGAGAAACACCAAAGAAACCATATATATGATGGAATAATCTCTCCATACACCTCTTGATAAATTGGGAAATACTAGTCTAGCACCTCTTGATATTAATAGTCAGGCAAGTTCAACATAGAACTATTTGTGAACTGTAACATGATAAATTTACACTAGAACTAGTGTTAGGTCGAATTCACCAAGCAGTTACTAGTCATTAGCCAGTTACCATTAGCTTATAGGTACCCCATAATACAATGGCAGTCATATTCTTGTTGCCAGTATTATGACAAGCAAATGAAACATTTTCAAAGAACCAATACAGGTACAAAGTGAGAAACTAACAAAGGAAATGCCAACTCAATAACTCATCTGCAGCAAATTGTGACATAGATACCTGTATTTCAAAACACTGCTTCTCCAAAAACAGTTTCAGCCGCTCAATGTACTCCTTGTCATTCTCCCCATTCTTCTGCTCCAATTCTGCTGGCACCACAGCTACCTGACTCTTTGGATGGCTGTAGACCTCTACAATGCTTTCCCTAATATTTTCCTCCAAACGCTTGATGAAGTTAACAAAATGTGCATCAAATATCACTGAGAGAATTGGATGATCGTTGTTCTTTTTATCAGACAAATCATTCTCGTCAACATCCTCAATGTCTGCCATGCTAGCTGCATTGGACCTTGTCAACGGCCTCCGGGGCTGGCTTGATTTTATAGAGGCGAAAATACTACTCTTCTGCATCTCATCAAACTTTAGTAAGTAAGATGTAAGCCCGATTTTCTGGCTTATGGTGTCAACTACTGTAAAGGCATCCCTTCCATTTTCACTGGACTTGTTGTAGAGAACACACTCTCCCAACAAAATCGCTGCCAAACCCATTGTGCACACAGTTGCTGATGGATTTGACACAAGCTCAAGCAGGCATGTGAGGTGGTGACGTGAATCTAGGAAGGAGTGCACTGCACTTGGACAGTTGGCAAGCCAGGTCACCAGCAATTTCAAGATGATCGGTTGAACAAACACATGTCCCGTGTTTGACTTTCCATCTTTACTTTTCATGGAAGAGGCAAGAGCTAAGTATTTGACCATGCGATGGAGTAATGGTTCTGGAGTTCCTAATGATGGTGTAGGAGCCTCAAGTTCAATTTTAATAACCTGCAAATTACGATATGTGATGTCATTGTCATGTAAAGAGGTAGCATTCACTTATTCAGAATCGTAATAAAAAACTCAACATTTCTAAAGGCTTTACTCTAGAAAAATGTCCTTTTAACTTTTTATCTAGCTGTCCATGTTCAGTTCTAAATATAGCTATACATTTCTTCATACCAAGATAAAAAAGATTATTAAAGCTTTTAATAAAAACTAAGATTCTTTTTGTCAGCTCTTTGTTTAAAAGCGTTTCTACAATAACAGACCAGCACCATTCTCCTTCTCTCCATCCTCTCCCTCTCTCTTTCTCTGCTGCCCGATGGGTTTTGAGGGCAAAGGGGAGGAGGATATGTCTGGGAGTGGAATTGACACCTATATAGCCACAAGCAATAACAAGAGTAGAGGTCTAACTTGCACGGGCTAATAGATTCACTTTAGTCTTAAATCCATAGATATTCTTCCAATTCACATGTTACCATGTGACGAAAGACTTGAGTAAACATGACGATATAATTGGAATATGTGTAGAGTGTATGCAGCTATAGTTACAACATGATGCTGAACTATAAAAACCCCAGCCACCGTCAGATAATAGAAAAGATTAGAGTGGAAGTTGATGTAAGAGAAAATGCATTAGTCTTCACACCTTTTCCTTACACTGGATGTTATCCTTTAATATGTGTGACAGCACACTGGCAGCCCTGCAACAACTCTGCGGGTTCAAAATATCAAATAAATATTAGTCTCGCCAAGTGGAAGCATTGTACCATATCACATATGCACATGGATATTGTGTCAACTAGAAACTCTGACTTCTTCAGGTAGCTAAACAGTAATTGCCAAACTAAAGAGAGCAAAAGCAATTGTCACCTCAAGATCGCCTTCATTTTCAGTCAATGTGAGACCACGTAACAGCATGCTGCAGACAAACCAATTCTTTGAAGTTTAAACATAAAGGGTATAGTCTTAAATTTTTAAAAATTTTATACATCCGGGTTCGACTTAAGTATATGTCAATAGTAAAAAAGCACTGCATTCGTCAATCAAAAGTAGTAATTAACATGTTCTCAAGATATGTACCTTCCAAAAGACATGTTCACATCCTCCTCCAGGGGAGATTGTGTCATTGAATGCGGTTGTGGAATCAGCGTGGAAGCCAGCATTCTTTGACCATCATCATTCTTCTGAGAAAAAAGGTTGGTAAGTACACAAAGCATGATAGGGGAAGCACAATTGATGGTAGTATAAATATTCACAGAAATTGTAATCAAGCAGATGACCAGATCCACCTCACAAAAGCATTTAAAAACATAATCAGCTGCAGTAAACTCTTGCATACTGGATGTCCTCAAAATGATTCGGAGAATAGAATTCAAAGCAGGTTCTACTTGAGGCTCCTCTCCAAGAACTTTGCTTGCTAGGGCATCGAGATTCTTAGAGTGTCCAGCAATCAGATCGCCAATGCACCTTAAAGCCTACAAACAGCCAAAGGCAAAACACAAAAAGACAGAAAAAAGGAAGAATATGAATTTCTCCTCAAGCAAAAGAACTCTCTAATTACGTATATAGTAAAATTTTCAGGACCAAGTGGTTTACAACTACAACTATGGACAAATACAGTTATTTAATGGATCCAACAGATCAGACATGCAGACCCAAAATCAATTCAAATCTGATAGGAAAAGGATCTTCTCAGGGTGAGATTGTACGGGTAGTGAATAATAACTAAGGGGTAACGCATTTTCACAGCTAGTGGTCTTTAGTCAAGGAAATTTTGGCTCTGCAAAGAGTCCAAGAATTTAGCAGCTCACATGACACTCTTGTCTCAGTAAGGGTAACTAAAAGTGGCTAACAGACCATTGTAGAATTGGTTTCTTGAGCTCAGGTGGCAGGAGTTAGGAAAAAAGTGCCTTGGACATATGGCCTTCATTTTACATAGCAAAGGAAAAAGCAGTTACTAAAAGAGAAAGATCAAGCACTTTGATATACTTTAACCACTACCCAAAACTCATTATTAGAATCTAAAATTCAGCAGATGCCACTTCAAATTGTAGAATTCTATTTATGCAATGGCTAATCAATGAAGACATGAACTGCAGCAGTTCATACTAATCGATCTCAAAAAACACTAATATAAGTTGCATATATAGAGAATTCTTTCCATTAAATCTTTGAGCCTAAGAACAGATACCCATAGACTTTTTCTTGATAGCC